TTTTTTTTTTTTTTTTTTTTTTTTTTTTTTTTTTTCGTGTCCGGAAACGGATCGCAACCCTCGGCGTTGCCCCCGCACCTCGCTCAGCCAGTGAGCGGCCGGTCTGTATGTGGGATCCGAACCCTTGGCGGGAGCGCCACCTCGCTTCCCAAGTGGCGCACTATAGCAGTGCGCCACCGGGCCGGCCCACACTGAGGGGTTTTTAAAGGAGGGGTTTAGGGACTAGAATGTGGGAGGTGAAATCAGGAGAGAAGACATGAGCTACGAGAAGTCCATGTCTGTGGGTCAGGTAAAGGCCTCATCTGCTTTCTGTTCTCATCTTCGATGTTATCTCAGGACCTTGCAGGATTTTGATTTGTGCCTGTGTACTTGGCTGGTGCCCAAGGTCAACTTCCAGTCATTTGGCCTTGATCATTTCTCAAAACTCTACAATTCTCAAAGAAAGAACGGCTAGCTTTGCAAAGTATTGATTAGTTTCTTGGCCTTGTTTTCCTACTTAGCAAGTAAGATAATAAAGTCAGTGGACGAGAAGAAAGAGTGGAGAGAAAAAAAGTGTCCTTTTTAATCTATTCCCCTCCTCTGCAGCCCAGGCAGTTTTAGGTCCCAACATGGCTTCAGTCCTGCTCACTCCAACAGGAACTGTAGCCATGGAAATTTTTAACATTTTAAAAAAATATAAACAGTGACAGGGCCGGCCCGTGGCTCACTCAGTAGAGTGCGGTGCTGATAACACCAAGGCCACGGGTTTGGATCCTATATAGGGATGGCCGGTTTGCTCACTGGCTGAGCATGGTGCTGACAACACCAAGCCAAGGGTCATCTTTTTTAAAAAAATAAATAAATAAAATAAAAAACAGTGACAGCATTTTCACTGCTTTTGTGAAAATGGGTTTTATTTTATTTCAGAGACTTAATTTGTTGTGTATAGTTTCTTGTGTTTCATAGTGTTTTCCATGTATACTTGCAAGTTATTCCTAAACTATCTATATCTTTCTGTATCTCCTGTTTTTTTTTTCTTTTCTTTTTTTTTTTTAACGTGAAAAACATTGATATGTTGTACCATAATGTATTTTGAAAATATTTTTCCTTAGGGACAGTGTTTCTCAATCTCCTTTTTTTTTTTTCTTTTTTTGTCCTTTCTGTGACTGGCTGCACCGCGCTCAGCCAGTACGCACTGGCCATCCCTATATAGGATCCGAACCCACGGCAGGAGCGCTGCTGCGCTCCCAGTGCTGCACTCTCCCGAGTGCGCCACGGGCTCGGCCCTCAATCTCCTTTTAAATGGGAAAAATTTGCAATGTCTGCCAAGATTTACTTATTTTTGGCTGTCATCCTCAAAGATTCCTCTCGCCCCTTGTGGTCAATTCCATTTTCTGCTCTAGCCCCATACAATTACCTATCTCAACTTTTTTTGTCTTTTTGTCTTTTTTCCGTGTCCGGCAACGGATCGCAACCCTCAGTGTTGCCCCCGCACCGGACCGGGGCCCGGCAACGGGACCGCAACCCTCGGCGTTGCTCCCGCGCCTCGCTCAGCCAGTGAGCAGGAACCGGTCTGTATGTGGGATCCGAACCCTCGGGTGGGAGCGCCGCCGCGCTTCCCAAGCGGCGCACTTATCCAGTGCGCCACCGGGCCGGCCCCCTATCTCAACTTTTTTACTATAGATTAATTTGCATTTTACATGAATGGAAGATCATATAGTATGTACCTGGCTTCTTTCACTCAGAATGAAGATTTTTGAGATTCATCCATGTTATTGAGTGTATCATTAGTTTGCTGCAGTACAGATTTAGCATACTAATCCAAAAATCCCAAATCTGAAATGCTCTAAAATCTGAAACTTTTTGAGTCCTGACATGATGCTCACAGGAAATACTTGTTTCAGATTTTGGATTTTGGATTTTTGATTTTTAGATTAGGGATGCTCAGCTCATAATATAATGCAATTAATCCACAATCTGAAAAAATCCAAAATGTGAAACACTTCTTATCCTAAGCATTGCAGGTAAGGGATACTCAATATGTACACACATTGTTTATCCATTCACCTGTTGCTAGACATTGCTATTTAATACTTTATACAAGTTTCTGAAATCAGATACCAGTGACTAGGAAAGAAAACCTTAAAAATTTTTTAACTCTTACTGAAAATCTTGGTGTCACCCACACCGCGCTCAGCCAGTGAGCACACCGGCCAGTCCTATATAGGATCCGAACCTGTGGCGGGAGCATCGCTGAGCTCCCAGCGCCGCACTCTCCCGAGTGCACCACAGGGCCAGCCCTGAAAATCTTATTTTCTAACTTGTGGGGAAAAAAATAAAAGCTCTTTCTTGTCATGTTGTTTTATGGGGGTTTTTTGTTTTTTTTGTTTTTTCTTTTCTGAAGGAACTTGGATATCCCCTAATTCCAAGTAATAAATAAAATACATTTTGTTGGCTCATTGTTTAACCTAAATGTTTGGTGATTATTTGTATGGCATTAAGTATTGTTCAGGAAACTCTTTGGCAGAGTGTTAATTTTTTTTTTAATATGATTCCATTTATATGAAATATCCAGAATAGGCAAATCCATACAGACAGAAAGTAGAATAGTACTTCTCAGGGGCTGTGAAGATGGGGGAATAGGGAGTGATTGTTAATTACAAGGTGGTTTCCATTTCCATTTGGGGTGATGAAAAAGTTCTGGAACTGGATTGTGATGGTTGCACAGCATTATGAATGAACTTAATGCTGTTGAATTGCACACTTTAAAATGGTTTAAATGGTAAATGTTAAGTATATTTTATCACAATGAAAAAAAACATGAAAACAATATTTTCAGAAAAGAAAATGTTAACAAAACATACTAAAAGTGAAGTATTTTAAACAGACACTCAGGATCTAAAAGAGAAAGTAATGATATTAGCAAAATATAAATATAAAAAACTATCAATACATAATTATGTTCCATGCTTGTATATGAGGCCAAGAGGCCTCAAGTGTGGGTTCATCCTCTTCTGGATCAAAGTCTGGATTATCAATTGCAAGATGTTAGCAATGATCAAGAAAAAAAGAGAGAAGACCGAAATTACTAAAATCAGAAATAAAGCAGGAGTACAGTAGTCAGTTGTTTCTTCTATTAAGCTGGAGAAGGCTTTTAGGAGAGAGACATCATCTCTTTTTCCGGTTTCTGCTGGTGACTCTCCTTGTGTCACTGTAGTTGGATGTCTGGTGGGCTGCTCACATTGTGGCTGTGGTTACTGCTGTGGCACCGAGCTGCTTTTGCAGCAGCTGTGACTGTGGCAGTGGCTGTGATGGGCACCCACATGGAAGTGGCATTCTCGGCCTGCTTCTGGGTGGGAGATGCTGCCTATGATCCCAGGCAGTGGCTGTGATGGGCCACCACGTGGAAGTGGCATTCTGGTCTGCTTCTGGGTGGTGGCTCCTGCCTAGGATCCCAGGTGTGCTCTGTTTCTTGCCTGCTTCCGGATGGAGAAGGCTGCCCTTGGTTCCTGCCTAGGACCCTGAGTGTGCTGTCCATAGTGTTAATTTTTTTTTTTTTTTGTCCTTTTTGAGACCGGCCGCACCGCACTCAGCCAGTGAGCGCTGTGAGCGCACCGGTCATCCCTGTATAGGATCCGAACCCGCGGCGGGAGTGCTGCTGTGCTCCCAGCGCCGCACTCTCCCGAGTGTGCCAGGGGCTTGGCCCCATAGTGTTAATTTTTAAACACTTCTTCAATGATAAGGAAATTTGGGAGGTTTATAGTAATAATCTAACACAGTGATTTTCAAAATTATGTACTTTGGTAAAAAAAGTGTGTGTTGATATACACAATATAAATAGTTGTTTATAAATTTTACATATTTTATTAATGTAATATGTATATTATAAAATAATCAAAATAGGTAATAAAAAGGATGAGAATGTAAAATGTAATTGTCAGTACTCTTTCTGCACAACTAATGGATTGTCTAAAGCATACCTCACTCTGGAAACCAGGTGTGTAGTACTGCCTATTCAGACAGTTAAAATCTACACCAGTAGATGGCATAATATTCTACATAGCCATGTAATTTGTGTGAATGTTGGAGGGCAGATAACCATTTATATGTGGCTTATAAAAATAGCTGATAATAAAGGGAAAAAGATCATCTTATGCATTAGGGCAGTGTTTCTCAATCTTTTTTTCATTATTACCTTCCGTCCCAGGAGCCTTTTAAAACATTTTTTTCCCCAATCTCCTCCCCTCCATGAAATTTTAATACTACATTATATCTGTGTATATATAGTCTGACCCTTTCAAGGATCACAAACCATTGTGATATCTAAGTTTGTTTTCTATCCTCCAAGATCCAATTTTTGTCCACTTGGAGTATATCACCTCTGTTTAGAATGCATGCTTTAGGGTAATTATGTTTTTCCCCTATTACTTGACCTTTCTGATCTCATTTCTCTTAAGTAAATTTTAATAATTTTAAGTGAGTTTTAATTAATTTTCTCTTAACTAAATAATTAATATGCATTCTATTTGTTTGTAGCTACTCACGTGCAGTAACTAATGCCAGGCAGCTTGTTTGCTGTTAAGAAATTTACTGGAAGTATTTCATAAAACAGACAGGCTGTTCATAGGTAATTCACTTGGCTATTTCATGACATTTTGTTTCTGCTTTTTCCGTAGGATGCTATTCTGAAATACAATGTAGCATATTCTAAGAAATGGGACTTTACAGCTTTGGTTGATTTCTGGGATAAGGTAAAAAGTATGCTTATTTCTTTATGAAAATAATATGACAACTGTATAAGATGATTTGTGAAAAATACCCATAATTCTGCCACACTAACACAATTATCATCTTTTATTTTTATGAATTTCCTTTTAATTTTTATGCCTGTTTTAGGGAGATCTAATTAAGAGTTAATATTGAGTTTTATCCTCTCATAGTATACATTTTCTGTTACATTGTCATACCACTATCAATAATATCAATGGATGTATAATATTCCATGACTAGATTTTGAGAATTTAATGAGTGTGTGTGTGTGTGTGTGTGTGTGTGTGTTTGTTTTCCCATATTTGATGTTGTTTCATTAGATGACTCCAGGAAATTAGATGGCTAGGTCAAATGGCACAAAACTTTTATGGCTCTGTATATGTTGTACAATCATTTTCGACAGGAGATTGTAGCAATTTACTGTGCCAACAGCAATGGGTAAGAATACCACTTTCATAGTTTCATTTCTAAGTGGGCATCATCCATTTTGAAAAAATGATTGTATTCTTTTAAGCATTTTATTTTGAAGTAATTATAGATTCACAAAAATTGCAAAGAAATGTACAGGGAGGTCCTTTGCACCCTTCATCCCACCTTCCCCAGTGTTGGTCATTGATCTCTTGCATACTGTAATACGATAGCAAAACCAAGAAATTGACATGAGAGCTCATTCGGATTTCACCAGTTAGGCAGATAGTCATTTGTGTTTGTGTGTATTTAATTACATCTGGTGTTACTGAGCTGTATGTAACTACCAGGACAATCAAGACACAGAACTGTTCCTTCACCACATGGCTCACTGGTGTTGACCCTTAATAACCACACTGACTCCTTCCTAACTCCTGGCAGCCACTAACCTGTTTTCCATCTCTGTAATTTTGTTTTTTTTTCAGGAAGGTAACAACATATAACCTTTTCAATTTGCCTTTTCTCACTCAGTATAATTCCCTTGGGGTCTATTCAAATTTATCAATACTTTTTTCCTTTTTATTGTTAAGTAGTATTCGTGGTATATAGATGGATCATAATTTGTTTAACAATAGACTCATTTAAGGACATTTGGGTGGTTTCCAGTTTCAGGCTGTTATTACTAAATTTACTCTGAACATTTTTATACAAGTTTTTGCATGAACATAGATTTTTATTTCTTTGGGATAAATGCCCAAGAGTACAATTGCTGAGTCATTTGGTAAATGTATTTTTGCTTTTAGAAGAAGCTGCCAAACTACTTACCAGAGGAACTGTACAAAGCAATAGCAATATACTTTTGCTAAGTAATTGAGGCCCCAAACGATACTTTAACGTACAGTCTATTAAAATAAATTGTTTACAATTTGATTCTTCTGCCCTTCTCATGTTATTTTTAGGCATCCAAATTATTTATGCTTAATTTACTAATAGTAAAAATTGAACGTAATTTTGAAATGGAAAAATTTCGAGTTGAGATAACTTCAATATTACACAATTTTGATTCTAATAGAGAATAATTATTGAACTTTGAACTTGAACATGGCCTTTATTGTTTCTTTATGTTGGAGCCTTTTCCTCCTTGACTTGTTTATTACATAACTCTGAGGTAAAGAAGGTAATTACAATCATTCTTACTTCACAAATGAGTAGTTGTGATTTGGAGATGGACTTGCTTGGTCAAGGAGACATACTTTGTCCCTGGCAGGACTGTCTAACCTGATCAGTGTTCTTTCCACTATTGCATGCAGTTGTTGTATGACGTCTCTCTGCACACACCCTGCCCCCCACTTGTTGCTTCATTCGCTCTGCAATAAGAGACTGATATGCCCCCTTCCTCTACCTTTCTTTTGAAATTCTTTCTCCCCAGACTTACATTTTCCTATTTGCCTCCTCCAGAAGGAGATGTCACCATTCTTTGAATTTTCATGACAAAAGTTGAAATATATCTTGTGGTACTCCCTCTCTGTGCATTGTTTTATTTGTGAAATGTTGACATCATATAGTAGGTTAAAAGTTTCATGGGGCAAAGAGACTGAATCTTACTCAGCGTTGTGTCTCTCATAGCACCTGGTACAGTGGCTTACATATAGCACGTGCTCTGTGAACTTGATTTCAATAGGAGATCAGGTCGTCATACTGGTTTTCAGGGTTACCGAGGTCTGGAAAAGTAATGGTTTAAGTTCAAAATTGGTATGTTTCTGATTTCTGCCCTCACTCCCTGCCCACACACATGACACACCCAAGTGTAACAAACTTCTCCGCTCTGAGCATTTCTAGCTAGTGATGTTCCCTCATTCTCATCACTTAATTTCCTGTGCCATTACCATGCTCTAAGATCTGTCTGTCCTCTAGGACTGCTGATGGTAATTCAAAAGAAAGTAGATGGCTAATTACATTGTCAAGAATTAAACATTATTGTGAATCCTTATATTTAATACCTCCTGTTAATTAGGAAGAGCCTGAAAAATGTGAAAATGCAATTGGCAGTGGTAGAAATAATACCACCTCTTTTTTCCCCTGAAATGTTTAATTATCTCACAAAGTATTTGTGAGGCAGCATAATACATAGTGGCTCTCAGATTTATTGTTTATCTGAATCCTAGAGGCTTGTTAAAACACAGATTGCAGCCCACCACCATCTCCAAGTTTTAGATTCAGTAGGTCTGCATTGGAACCGGAGACTTTGCAATTCTAACAAGTTCCCGGGTGCTTTGCTGCTGCTGGTTCAGAGACCACATTTGAGATCCACTGATAGAGAAAAGAGCGTAGAATTAGAAATGGAAGTTATGATTTCTTAGTCTCAACTCTGTAACCTTGGACAAGTCTGTGCCTTATTTTCCTCACTTGTTAAATGGACAAAAATCACTGCTTTATCTTCCTTAATGGCATGTTGTAAGGATCCAGCTGATGTATCTGAAATAATTCTTAAAATTCTGGAGTGATACTCAAATACATTACTTTCTTCTGAAAAGTTTGATTTGCCTCTTTAAAAACAAAAATCTTTCATTACTAACATGTCTGAATTGCAGGAAACTTAGAAAATACGAAAAAGTAAGACAGTAAAGATTATCCATGATTTTGCTACCCAGAAATAATCACTCTTAATATTTAAAAAAGTGTAATTCTATCCACCTATGCATATTGAATATGAATTTTTTTATGTTATTATTTTTAAATGGACATCTTGGTGCCTGAATCTTCTGTATCATTGAATATTTCCTTAGAATAGATTCCTAGAATATAATCATCAGATGAAAGAGTATGTCAATTTTAAGGCCAGTTTATCTTCCTAGGGTTATTCCAGTTTCCAGGTCTCTCCAGCAGTGTGTAAGAATTCTATATTACCATGCCATCATCAGTATATTTACTTTCAAAGTGTGAGAGTATATAAAAGCACCCTGTACAGTATTTTCTGCAGGGTAAAGGTTTAATATGACGAGCTGTTGCCTAAGAAAGTGTGCCTGTAAGATATTCAAGACTCCCAAAGAAAATTTTGGTTAGGATAAAGTAATTTTCTAGCAGCTGTAGTGATACCAGTGTGATATATGAGAGTTCTCTAATTTAAATGACATTACTTCTCAGACTCTGAATAAATAATTTTAATAATAAAATGTGGAGTTTATAATATAAAATTGAAATTAAACTTGCCCTAAAAGTTTGAGATCATTTTTCTCTGGGGTATATCTGCTACATTTTTCATAGACCTAAAGAGAATTGTTCATCTGCTTTTGAGGAAAAGAGGAAAAAGGAAATAATATTTATTAAGGACATAAGTATATCAAAAGGAATATATTACTGCATTTAATCCTCAGACTCCTTTGTGAAGTGTAGGCAGCATATTCAATTTAGAGAGGAAAGTATAATTAGGTTTAGAGAGGTTAACTAACTTGTTCAACATTATACATATATTAAGTAGGTGAATCTAGATTTGAGCTCAGTTTAGTTGCTGCACAAAATAGGTGACCAGTAACTATTCATTGGATACATGAAGGACTGTTGGACTGCAAAGCCTGTGTCCTTTTTATTGTAATGATTTTTATCTTTTAAAGAACATCGAGTACTCCTATATATAAGGCACTACACTACAAAAGATAACAGAATTGATTGACAGCCTTATCCTCAGAAAGCAGAGGATGCTAGACATGTACACAGATGACTGTAATAATTAGGCAGAGTGGAAGAAATGCTCTAGTAGAGCTTAGTGGGTCATGGAAGGACAAAAGAGTTTTGCTTTGGCTCTTTAATATTTTGAGAAATTGCCAAACTGTTTTCCAAAGAGACTGTATCATTTTTTGATCCCTCCAGCAATATACAAAGATTCCAATTTCTTCACATCCTCACCAGCCCTTTTTATGTATGTCTTTTTTATTTGAGCCATGTTAGTTGGTGTGTAATAGTAACTCATTGTGGTTCTGACTTGCATTTCTGTAATGATTAATAATGTTGATTATCTTTTCTTGTGCCTATTGGACATTTATACATTTTCTTTAGAGAACTATTAGAGAAATATCAACTCAAATCCTTTGTCTTTTTATTGTGTTGTAAGCTTTATATATTCTAGATGCAAGTTCCTTATCAGATATAGGATTTGCAAATATTTTCTTACATTTTATCAGTTATCTTTTCATTTTCTTGATGGTGTCCTTTGAAGCAACAAAGTTTTTAATTTGAACAAAGTCTAATTTATCTATTTTTTTTTATTTTGTTGCTTGTTTTTGGTGTCATATATAAGAAGCTAATTCAAGGTCATGACGATTTACTCCTGTGTTTCTTCTAGGCATTTTATAACTTTAGCTCTTATACGTATGTCCATTACCCGTTTTGCATTAATTTTTGGATATGGTATAAATTAGGGGTCCAGATTTATTATTTTCATATAAATATCCAATTTGAGTTATTTTTTGTATATGGTGTGAAGTAGAGTCTGATTTCATTATTTTGCCTTTGGATGTCCATTTATTCCAGCCACATTTGTTGAAAAAATTATTCTATCCCTATCGAATTGTCATGG